ACTGTCAGTGCTCACTGTGTTAGGCCTGATCGGTGTATTTATAACAGCTGTCTGTTAAATGATAACGGAAAAACTGGTAATGATTGTGAATGTGTCAGAACAACCAGCAAACAGACTAAACATTTTGTTCGTTTATTTTAACACAGTGTAACATCACACAGGTCTCGTTGTTCCAAACACGGAATAAATAACTTCCAACTTCACTAAAACAAATCCTGGTGGACTGATCAATACAATGGAAGATGGATAACGTCAGAAAGAAAGAAATTAACTCTCTACAAACTGGCTCCTCTTGCTCAGTTTCATTCCTCTCCTGTCGCTGCCTGAGCCCGCCGGGTCTCCATTGTTCCCCGCTGGGTCCCTCAGCTCCTACACTAGTAACTCCCCCTGTCCTTTGAGCTGTCCAGGTACAGACAGCTAATAGAACCGCTAACTAGCTAGTAGTAGCTCCTAGTACAGTTAGCAGAGCAACAGTGCAGTGGTAAGCGACTCCCTGTGTTACAAGAGAAAAGGTCCGTGCTGCAACAATCCTCTGATCCTTTCATCCCGGTGACGAGGCGAGTTTGACGTTGTTTTTGTTTTTCTGCGACTGTCCGACTAATGAAAACTGGGTCGACTGAGACTCTTCTCATTTTATAGACTAAACAATTAATCCATGAAACAAGATTATGATCACGGCCCTGAAGTAACTCTGTATTTCACTGTTGGGTTCAGGTGCTGCAGGAGGTTCTGTCTTGTGGTCGGACGGTCCTGGTGGTGGCTCACCAGCTGAAGACTGTGGAGAAGGCGGATCACATTATCTTCCTGGAGAAGGCAGAAGTCATGGAGGAAGGGACGCACCAAGAACTCATGGACAAGAAAGGACGCTACTATCGTTTGAAAGAGGAGCTGTTCTCTTAACTCAGCTGAGAAACGCTCAGTGAATGTAGTTGTGGACACAAAGCATCCAGTGAAGGAGGAGGAATGGTGAAGAATGGTCTGTGCTGGCAGTATTATTAAAGAACTTCCCTTTGCTTTAGGGGTCTAACCTAAGATAACCATCCCTCTTGTAGAGTGAAGACACCTGAAACTCCTGATAGTTCACATGCCATAAAGGAGGGAAAACATGTACAGCAGCCTTGTAAACCATTTCTCTTTGTGCTCTCAGCAAAGGTTTTCTTTGGTCTCTCCACCAGGAGCAGATTCTGGTTTCTCCCAGCCTGCAAGAGTGGAGGTTTAGACTTATATAACTTTTGTAAGTAAAAAGCCATTATGTGCTTCTTACTGATGTTCTGTTTTAGAAATCAAACCTTTTTAAATGTTTGAAATTGTGTTTGTTTTTCCTGCAAGATTCAGGAAGCTAAAACTTAACAAATCTTAGTTAAAACGTAACTAAACGTGTTTTTCTTTCCAGTCTGTACTTTTTTCTGTACATTTGAATCAATCAGTAAGATTTAATGGTGATTTTCATATTTTTCTACAAACACATGATCTTAACAAATATGATGCATTGCTGTAGATTAAACTACTCAACAGTATATAAAATAGTTCAAATGAGCTCAACCTTAAACATCTACAGCAGTAAAATACTGTATGCAGCACTGATATTAATCCACAAATATAATAGTAAAAGTCTAAAAGGATTTTATTGCACTTTGATTATGTTTTGCTGTAATAGTGGAATGGATGCTGAAATACATATTTATGTGTCTTTATGAGGTCGGTGGATATGACAGAATATACAGTATGTACAGTATAGGTGCAGGTATTTGATGTATTTGACTGTTTTTGTTTTATAAAAAGAAACTGGAAGAAGAATGGAAGAATAATAAATAGTTTAGAGGTTCAGTGGACGTTAGAGTCTCAGGGTTACTGTACAGGGATTAATCCTGACACTGTGGTTAGGAACTGTTTCTCTGTTTTGGTGTACAATTCATGCTCATAGGCCCCTTAAAAATCAGATTTCATAAAGTCTCCTTCAAGTCAAAAATCTGTTTTCTCATTGTTTCTACAGTTTTATGTTTGAGTTTCACTGCAGAGTTTGACACTGAAAATCATTTATTTTAAGGGGCGGGGCCTATGAGCATGATACAAGTCAATACAATGTTTTTTAATTTCAGTTTAGTTTATATTGTTTTAAAAATGTTTAGTTTTTATTAGTTTCAGTGTTAGTTTTAGTGTTTTTATATGATAATATTGGGGGTATTTGTCAGGGGTTAGAGTTAAGAATAGTTATTAAAGTACAAACACATTGACTCACAGTCTCATTATAATCCAACAATGTCTCCTCATGCTTATAATATTATATTTTCATTTTATTTTAGTTAAAGTTAAAGTATTTTAGTTCCCTAGTTTTAGTTAAATATAATAACTTTGGTCTGGAGGGGATTTTTAACAGTTTTTAAAGATAATATTTAAAGTTGATGTCAGATCTGTAGTTTCAGCATTAAAGGTATGGATGGATCTATTTGCTGGGGACTAACGGTGTGCTCACTGCAGCTCGAGGCGCCCCCTGCAGGCCGTTTGCTGCTGCTGCTTGCACAGATCATTGCGTTCACACCAGCAGCGGATCAAGGTCCGAGCGAGGAGCCTTTAGAAAACTCATGCAAACCTCTCTCCTGCATAAGAGGAGTCATTTCCTGCTCTCTGTCAGTGAGGATCTCTCCTCTCAGACCCAGAACTACCTCTCTGTTTGCGGATCTTTGGTACAGAGGGGCGCGGTGACCAGCAGCTGCACACAATGATCCCCAAGATTGCGCTGTGCTCGCAGTCTCTGCGGAACTACTGTGCTTTTTCCAGAGCTTTAAAAGTTGTGCAGACACCGTGGACACGTCATCCAGGACTACCTGCAGCAAGTCGGTGAGTCACAAACATTATTATATTATTATTATTAAAGGAATAAACCAAGAGTAATGTTCAGACCAGGTTATAAAAAACAAATTAAATCCCATGTGCATGCAGATAAAGAGATTATTCTATAGAACAATAAAGGAAGTTCCTCATATATCAGAAACAATGTATACAAATAAATAAATAATGTTTGTTGGTAACTTCTTGTTTCCTTTTTTGATTATGTAACAGCGCCTGCTTACACAGATCTTATGAATGTGCTGACATTTAAAGTTATTTTTAATACTTCAAAACACGTTCTCACATTTAGTCTGGCCCAATCTCAGCTCGGGCTTTTATATTAACAGCATTGCTCTGTTGTTTCTGTGCGCAAACTGTTTGAATTATGTGAAAATATGTGAAAACCCGCTGCTGTGGACGGCGGAAGGAAGGGGGAGGAGACCCCAGAGACACCACAGTGAAGCACAATGGAAAGAAATGTATATAAAAATAGTGCTGAGTGTGGTTGGTGGCTGAGATTTAAACTGGATTGTGCAGATCAGATTATTGTATCTCTGCATTGTACCGATATGTTCAGCAGTGAATGAATCCGCTCTAAGTGCTGATTCAGGGTCAGTTTTATCTAACACAGTAACTGTAAAACAAACCTCTGATTCCCATTAAAGTTAGCTGAAGCCGTCGGTGGTGGAAAGTTTCTGAAAGTACATTAACTGCACTGCTCCTTTCCTTTAGTATATCCACTTTATGTTACTTTTATATGTATGATACTTATATTATTAGATATATTTATATAATTATGTATTATTCCAATAATGATATTATCGGTTATATATGATAATAATAATAATAATAATAATAATAATAATAATAATAATAATTAATTTATTTTTAATGGTTTAATCTGCTTAATGTTGTATGGAAGCCAAAGTATGTTTTTACAGATTTTTTTATTTTAATGAATTTTTCTAGAAATAAATAAATCAACACTTGAAGCATCAGAACTGTTAATAAACTGAAGGTTTTGAACTTATTCTTAAAATAGTAAAACGTGAAATTATCCATTAACTTATCAGCCACAAGAAACAGCTAATTACCGGTTATCCTATTGGAAAAAAAAAATCCATAAAGTGCATCCCTACTTTATATTTCATTACATTTCAGACGGAAATTTGTTTGATATAAATACTTGAACACAAAACCGTACATTCAAGTATCTGGATGAGCGTCCTGGTTTAATTAAATACCTGTTTGTGGCCCAAAGATGTAAAATTATCCATTATTTCTCATAAAAATTAGAGAAATGTGTGATAATGACTTGTGTGTCAGAGCTTAGTTTTTTCTTCCTTCCTGATGATTTCAAGACTCCACTAATTTATCTGGCGTCCCTTTGAAGAGACCTGACCCTTATATTGGGAACCACTGAACTAAACTGTATATAATGTAGTTTAAATGACTGGAAAATGCTGCTTTCACATCTATATATATCAATATAATGTATCAGTCACAGGAGCCAGTTTTCTCCAGGATTTTGAATGCACTTTTTCCACCACTAAGAAACCACAATACCCATGAGCCTTAGCTGCCATTGCCGTGGAGAATCCAGTCAGAGGTGCAAATCAGAGCGAACTGATGTTAACTGTAGATTATAAAATCAATTTTCTCAACCACACAATCATGTGAGGATGTTAAACTCAGAGATTGGATGATTCTTTAGTAGTAGTTTACTTCTTGCACAAGCTTGTATCTTCTACTTTTTATTATTATCAATGAACCAGATATTTTCATGCTGATTCAAGCTGTAGAAGAGCTCCAACTGTAAGTAAATGTAACTTTGTGTATGGGGAAAATGAATGGGACTAAATGGAACGACTCCTCCCATCATCATTTCACTTTCATCAGTTCAACAAACAAACTATTAGGTAATATTACACTTAGTAACAGCCAATCTGCTGAGTAGTGAGTTTTTTAGTAGAAATTAAAAGGGAATCACTGAGGTTGGTCAGGTTGTTCCAGAGTTCGAGGATCTTGGCAGATGAAAACACAATCTTTGTTTTAAATCTAGATTAGCAGACTGCTAGTAGAGGTAAATACAGTTACAGTAATCACTGGTGGAAAGGTCAGAGAAATGAAAGTAGATAAAAACAGTCCTGTACTACTTAATTAACACGATAATTTAAGGTAAGACTGGAATCAGTAACTACTAAAATTCTCACTCCAGGTTCCAGATTATTAAATTGAATTACTTTATTGACCCGATTTTTCCTCATTTAGTTGGAAGAAGATAATAAACTAGAGCTGCGACTAATGATTTTCTCATTGTTTTAATAAATATATTAGTTGTTTAGTCTATAAAATGTCAGAAAATAGTGAAAAGTGTAACAGTCCAAAGGTGTTAAATTGCAAACATAGAAGAAAACCAGTAAATATTCACATTAAAGAAGCTGGAACCAGTGAAAGTGTTTATCAACACAGTTGCCAGTCGACCCGACTTTATAGAGTAATTCAACACCTTATGAAAATCTTGTTTTTGCTACCCTTCAATGGTTTAACTTCTCACATTGCTGCAGTGATGTCCAATTGAACTCCAGGACACAGTGACATCACCGTTGGGTGTGGTTACTGGTGCAACAAAACTCACTTCTGACAGGTCCTTTAAACTTTCAACCAAAGAGGGCAAGGAAACGCTGCTTTTCAGCCTTTTTAAGGATGCTGGTGGTTCTTGAACTGACATATACATTAAGTTATGTGTCATCAGCATAACAGTGAATAGAAATGTTATTATTTTGTATTATTTGGCCAAGTAAAAGCATGTAGATAGAAAATAGAAGGGGGCCTAGGACAGATCTTGGGGTACTCTACAGTTCAAAGGTGCAGTGCAGTTTAATATTCCTATTAGAACTTGTTTCATGTGATTGTTTATAATGTTACTTCTTTCCAATTCAAACCTTTCGCATAGTGTTTGATAAGATTTCTCTCCTGTTTCTCCTGCAGTGGCATTCATGTGGACTCTCCGCCCACTATCCCAACGCTCACTACCAGCTATGCACACGGCACGTCTTCCACATCCTTGCTCCACACTACAGTCGGAGAAACCCTGCTGAGGACTGTGGAGCGCTGGCCTGACAGAGAGGCCGTGGCCTTTATGGAAGGCGGAGTCCGCAAGACCTTTGCCCAGTTTCAGCAGGATGTGAGTCTTTTTCTTCAAAGTATACTGTATGTTTCCAGTGAATGTGCCCCTAACCACAACAGAAGACCTCAACATACCATATTATATACACAAAAGAGATCAGAGTTCTTTCTGTACAAATAATCCAAAAGATTTTACAGTCGGTTGAGGTTAGACGCTGGAAAGCACACAAGCAGTCGAGGAATTACAGTATAACAACGTTTAACAATATACAGTTAAACTTTTCTTAATATCATAGCAATCATTTTAGCTTAATTTAATAGTTTTAACCTTCAGTATTTGGATCAAGTGATACATATTTAATCAAAACTTTAGTAAATATATGAATCGAATCAGAATTACCCAATATTTGGATACTACTACT